GGCCCCGTCAAAACGGCCCCGTTAATATGACCCCGTCAAATCGACTCCCGACAAACCGACCCCGTCAAAATAGCCCCGTCAAAAGGGCCCCGACTTATTGGCTCCCGTCAAATGGGCTCCCGTCATATTGACTTGCGATATATTGGCTCCCGACATAAGGACTCAAGACAAATGGGCTCCCGACAAATGGGCTCACGACATATTGGCTACCGACAAATGGGCTACCGACATATTGGCTCCAGGCAATTGGGCTCCCGACATATTGGCTTTTGACAAAATGACTCCCGACATATTGGCTCCAGACCAATGAATGACCATTATTGGCATAAAAGTAACCATTTTGTCCTACCTTCAATACCACTATAAATTCTTTTGAATGCCCGAACGAAATTGTTTTTCATGAACCAACATTAATTCACAATCAAATCAAGCCCTTAACAGATAAATTCCACCAATTCTAAAGTTTTGATAATGTTTAATTTACAACAGAAAAGATCTGTTGCTTTAAAAGCAAGCACAGAAGTGTAAATGTATGATATTTATGTTTACATGATAACAGCATCTTGTTTTGATAACCTACAAGCATACTGCAGGTAGGAAGGTATAGCACTGAGTTGGAACAGCCTATCGACTCAATTATGGATGTCATAGATAGATGACCCTTAAATTAAAACATACTATATTTTATAATAGATAAACTAATATAAAAATAAGGCCTGCCGAACAAGAGATGCATACGTTGTATTCAGTGGCGGAACTAGAAAAAATGGGCCACCCCGCAAAAATATTTTTATCTATATCTATATCTATATCTATATCTATATCTATATCTATATCTATATCTATATCTATATCTATATCTATATCTATATCTATATCTATATCTATATCTATATCTATATCTATATCTATATCTATATCTATATCTATATCTATATCTATATCTATATCTATATCTATATCTATATCTATATCTATATCTATATCTATATCTATATCTATATCTATATCTATATCTATATCTATATCTATATCTATATCTATATCTATATCTATATCTATATCTATATCTATATCTATATCTATATCTATATCTATATCTATATCTATATCTATATCTATATCTATATCTATATCTATATCTATATCTATATCTATATCTATATCTATATCTATATCTATATCTATATCTATATCTATATCTATATCTATATCTATATCTATATCTATATCTATATCTATATCTATATCTATATCTATATCTATATCTATATCTATATCTATATCTATATCTATATCTATATCTATATCTATATCTATATCTATATCTATATCTATATCTATATCTATATCTATATCTATATCTATATCTATATCTATATCTATATCTATATCTATATCTATATCTATATCTATATCTATATCTATATCTATATCTATATCTATATCTATATCTATATCTATATCTATATCTATATCTATATCTATATCTATATCTATATCTATATCTATATCTATATCTATATCTATATCTATATCTATATCTATATCTATATCTATATCTATATCTATATCTATATCTATATCTATATCTATATCTATATCTATATCTATATCTATATCTATATCTATATCTATATCTATATCTATATCTATATCTATATCTATATCTATATCTATATCTATATCTATATCTATATCTATATCTATATCTATATCTATATCTATATCTATATCTATATCTATATCTATATCTATATCTATATCTATATCTATATCTATATCTATATCTATATCTATATCTATATCTATATCTATATCTATATCTATATCTATATCTATATCTATATCTATATCTATATCTATATCTATATCTATATCTATATCTATATCTATATCTATATCTATATCTATATCTATATCTATATCTATATCTATATCTATATCTATATCTATATCTATATCTATATCTATATCTATATCTATATCTATATCTATATCTATATCTATATCTATATCTATATCTATATCTATATCTATATCTATATCTATATCTATATCTATATCTATATCTATATCTATATCTATATCTATATCTATATCTATATCTATATCTATATCTATATCTATATCTATATCTATATCTATATCTATATCTATATCTATATCTATATCTATATCTATATCTATATCTATATCTATATCTATATCTATATCTATATCTATATCTATATCTATATCTATATCTATATCTATATCTATATCTATATCTATATCTATATCTATATCTATATCTATATCTATATCTATATCTATATCTATATCTATATCTATATCTATATCTATATCTATATCTATATCTATATCTATATCTATATCTATATCTATATCTATATCTATATCTATATCTATATCTATATCTATATCTATATCTATATCTATATCTATATCTATATCTATATCTATATCTATATCTATATCTATATCTATATCTATATCTATATCTATATCTATATCTATATCTATATCTATATCTATATCTATATCTATATCTATATCTATATCTATATCTATATCTATATCTATATCTATATCTATATCTATATCTATATCTATATCTATATCTATATCTATATCTATATCTATATCTATATCTATATCTATATCTATATCTATATCTATATCTATATCTATATCTATATCTATATCTATATCTATATCTATATCTATATCTATATCTATATCTATATCTATATCTATATCTATATCTATATCTATATCTATATCTATATCTATATCTATATCTATATCTATATCTATATCTATATCTATATCTATATCTATATCTATATCTATATCTATATCTATATCTATATCTATATCTATATCTATATCTATATCTATATCTATATCTATATCTATATCTATATCTATATCTATATCTATATCTGGCAGGTGTCATATTCAATGAGACCGCTTTGCCGGGCGACTTAGTCTCTACAGAAACGGTATTATCAGAGGTCCTTTTGTCTGGAGCCAAATTAACAGGAGCCTTTTTGTCGTGAGCCAAAATGACGCTAGCCTATTTGTCGGGAGTCGTAATGACGGGGGCCGTTTTGTAGAGAAACTAAATGGCGGGAGCCTATTTGTCGGGAGTCGTAATGACGGGGGCCGTTTTGTGGAAAAAACTAAATGACGGGAGCCTATATGTCGGGAGCCAAAACGACGGGAGCCTATTTGTCGGGAGCCTTATTGACTGGAGCCCTTTTGTCGGGAGCCTATATAACGGGAGCCTATTTGTCGGTAGCCTAAATGACGGGAGTCTATTTGTCGGGAGCCTATATGACGGGGTCCATATGTCGCTGGCCCTTTTGACGGGGCCGATTTGACGGGGTCGTTTTGACGGGGTCGTTTTTTCGGGGTCGTTTTGACGGGGCCGTTTCGTCATTGGCCGAATTGACGCCGCACGACAGGAATTTGTCATGGGAGGGGTTCAAATATTTTCCATATGTATAAAATAAAGTCATATATATATATATATATATATATATATATATATATAGGGGTATGAGTCCATGGTAGGGGCTATAACCCCCCCTAACCTCCCTTGCCTACCCCACTGCCTGACGACTATTCGATCCCCCAACCATCTCGATTACGGTACGGTTTAACGCTGAACGGCGTTCCTAGCAATACAGGGGTTGACCGTGGCGCTATCATCATTTCGTTATCATCCAGAATTTTTTTCCCAGAGGGGGAGGCGCACTTGAAATTTTCGGGGACGGGCGGCGGACTAAAATTTCCGGGAGGGCAGACACTGGTAAAAGTATATATTTTCTACATAAATTATATATCGTTCAGGGAGTGTGGTGGTGGCGGTAGACGTTTTTCGGGGGGAGGGGGGGTGGCAAAGCCTCACCGAAAAGATGCCTGGAAGATAGATTATCGTTCGATCCCCCAACCATCTCCATTACGGTACAGATTAACGATATAAGGCGTTACCAAGCAATTAAGGGGTTGACCGTATCAGTATCATTATATTATAGTTATCATCAGATAAGTTATCGTTCGATCCCAATGAGTGGGTGTCAGTCGATGGCCCATCGATTATATTTGATCATATTTGCTTGCGGTGTGTCACGGAGCGTGACGGTCTATAAGAAACAGCTGAAGCAGGAAGCCGTTGACTGCTTTTTTTTAAAACGACGTAACGAATTCTGGAGTGTTGTGTCACCAAGCTAAGGCGACGGCTGGGTGGTTAGGTTTTTGGTCAGGTCAGAACCCCTGCCCTCTCCTCATCCACTTGTTTTAAACTTAAGTGCCACAGGCATACCGGTTGCTTAAATTCGTACAACAGTGATCCATAATAATTATCATGTTATTTTGTAGAAATACATTATTGGCGATTTATATCAACGTACGAGGTTATCATAACTTCCCATGCTAATTTGTCAAAACTTGAGAACGTTTTAATCCAATACATTTTAAAGACTGATCTTTGTTTCGTGAAAGAAAAAAAAAAGTCAACTCTCGATGTGTGTATGTTTGTGTTGAGATTTTGTGAGTGATCAAATTTTTTTATACATATAACATTTCAACTGTGGCATTATTTAAGAACAACCACTCTAAATCTCTTTTGAGACACATGAACAAATATGGTATCCACGAACTTTGAATCCTGAGCTCTTGAAAAATTAGTGCAGCATCAAAACAGGTTTTGACAAAAAAGCCACTTCATAAGGGCCAGCAATAAAGGACCCAGTCATAAAGATTTCTGACAAAACAGCTCTAGCTCTTTGGACTCACGACAAACAGGCTCCGAACATTTTTGCTTATGTCCAAAAAGAATATTTCTGTAATTAATAAAGACTTCTTAGAAAACATTTTCAGACTGCTTTCTAAAAAAAAATTTAATGTCTATTTTTATTTTGAAACAAAATATTTTTAGTTGGCCAAAGGTTACCTTAACAATAAGCAAACAAAAGAGACAACACATCAGATGACTTGCTTGATGTTTTTTTTAATCGTTTCACAGAGTATTTTCTTTAGTCTGTAATAAATATCAACATCCGTACATAATGCATGTATCTAAACTATCTAACTCATGTAGCCTTTATCACAGGCAACAATTGTGGTAAAATTATACTAAATACACAAAATACCTCACAATACAATATTTCCAAATCAAACCTTTAAAAATATTTATTCACCGGAATTACTATTAAAATGAACTAGGACTAAAAAACAAGCTATCGTCAAGAATTTTCCCTGCTCTTTGTGGATCTTTCCAGTTCCCAATATTCTTTTGTCTTCATCTCGGATAGCCGGGAGATAACTCTCTCAAAGGCAAATAACTCTTCCTCGCCTGTAAAGATGCTCGATCTGGCCAGCTCTGATTTCTAAAGAGGGAAGATGTTTCACATACTTATAAACAACAGTCTATGCATATATATGGGTGTAATAAAAAACTGGCTATTTGTAAATAAATATATGCATAAATTTTTTTATGTTTAAATGTTGATGTCCACTTATGTGAAGTATGTTGTTAGATCAGGCGATGAATGGAAATGTGCATGGCAAGGTGCATTCTCTATGTATCTGTTAGTAAATGTATTGTGTTGGTAAATGCATGTATATGGTGCAGTCTTTATGTATCCGCAGGTAAATGTATGTGTATGGTGCAGTCTATATGTATCAGTAGGTAAATGTATGTATATGGTGCGGTCTTTATCCGTAGGTAAATGTATGTGTATGGTGTAGTATTTATGCATCTGTTGGTAAATGCATGTGAATATATGTGTAGTGGTTGTAGATGCAACTTACAGCATTAATGCCCAGATCATCCATCAAACTTCTGTTTGCTTCTTCATCCAGAGCACTGATGCCACCAGCAGAAAACAGATTTTTGGGGGCAGAAGCTGCTCCCACCACTAGCTTTACCTGGGTTTAAAAAAAAAGAAGAATTCTACTCCATCTGAGAATTGTTGCTGGAAAAATTAAGAATTCTACTCCATCTGAGAATTGTTGCTGGAAAAATTAAGAATTCTACTCCATCTGAGAATTGTTGCTGGAAATAGTAAGTAATGTTGCCGTAAAGATTTAACAACCCCATATATAATTTATAAAGTGACATGACTTGCCTATAGTGAATCATCTAGATAGCTATGAGCTAAGCTAACATTTGTTCATACTTTACAAAATGAAGTACACTTGCTAATGTAATAAGGGAAAAGAAACCCTTTTTTGACATTTACCTTATTGAGAAACCTCCCTAACCATTGGTAAACAAATACTTCATGTTACAAAAGTTCTCCCCTAACCTGAGGTGAATGAAACTAACCTTATAATCATACTAGGTATCTATAAGCCCTAACCCAAGATAAATGAAACTTACAGTACTGTCACTCAATGTATGAGAGTAACATACCTCGCTAACCCTTTGTAAATGAAACTAGCCTTATCATCAAACAAGGTATCAAAAAAGGCCAGACCATGTGTAAATAAAACTTATCTTCTCATACAATATATCCATGAGAGTAACAAAACTACCTAACCAATATTACATGAAACACCTTGTTAAAAACATTATTCATAAGCTCTCACTTAAGGTAAATGTAACTCACCTTATTGTCATACAAGGTATCTATGAGGGTGGTAAACCTCCGAGCCTCCGTACGAGAGCTGAGATTCATATTAGGGACATCCCGCAGGACAACCACATCAAATTCCTTGCAGATCTCCAGGTAGTCTATGGCACCAAGGTTCTATACAGACAGATCAACAAGTTTATTTTCTATGCCTGCAGTGGGTGAATGTGCTATGGATATTCAAATACTCTGTTCCCAAAGCCAAACATGGTTTTTAACATCTTGTTTCAGTATGTGAATAAATCATCATTTACATAATAAATCATTAAAAATGTATACATCACACTAAAATGATAGCAATAGAGATTTTCTCACTATACTTGTAATTTAAAAAATAAAAACTCCAGCAATTCAGCAGAACAATTTAAAATTTTTAAACAAATTTTAAAACTAACCTGCTTGCACAGACTTTCAAACGTGGTATCTAGAATTCTCCCATAAGTCCTGGGCAAGATTAGATTGCGTCCTAAAATCGTCAGTGTTCTGGAGACTGCTTCTGCACAGATTGAAAATAAACAAACTTTAATCCAGTCCATCATTGTTTTCTAAAAGTTTACTCCTGGCAGACAGCAAACAACAGCTCACCTGTCTGTTGATTTTGCAGAAGTTCCTCAATGACCTGATCAATGTGTTTGTTTGTTTCTTCATTTGGCCCTCTGTAGACGAACATAAATCCAGTTTTTATTACTGTACATTTAGTTAAATATATGTTAGTAGATTAACAGCAACCTTTTCACTACAAATAAGTTAACATCCAATTTTCATTACTGTACATTTAGTGAAATATATGTTAGTAAATGAACAGCAACCTTTTCACTACAAATAAGTTAACATCCAATTTTTATTACTGTACATTTTGTTAAATATGTTAATGAATGAGCATTAACCTTACCACTAAAAATAAGCTAACATCCAACTTTCATTACTGTACTTAAAGTTAAATATATGTTAGTAAATGAACAACCCCACTAAAAATATATTAATTGACAAGTAACTAGAGATGTATAAAATTGTAATGGATTAAATCTTTTAAAGAACATTTTTCTTTAAATTTAAATGGAGAATTTTTTTTCTCTAAAAATCAACTCACACTATAAATAATGTATCTATCTTTGTTTTTTTTTTGTTTTTTTTTTGACATTTAAATAAAACTACTTGCGTACAAAGACTGTTAATGCAAAAGAGATCTTACACAAAGTAAATTTTACCATCCGCAGGCATGGACAACATTCTGTAATCAATACCAGAATCTAGTGGAATCACTTCACAGTATGTCTGAAAAAATGATACATTTATTACATATTCATTGTGAATAATCCCTTTTTTTTTATTAAAAGCTGACAAAACAATACAGTTAAAAAATATGCTTTAAGAAAGGCTACCAATTAAAATATAAATTAGTAAATAAAAGTTGTAAACCTAAGTACAGGAATTTGAAAATAAAAATGAATAGTTAGTACTTTAAAGCTAATTTTTGTAGTACAGTAGTTTAACCACTTACCTTTAAAATATCAATAAAAGGTAAAAATGTTCCTCTTTGTAAACCATTCTTGTATAAATCTACAACACAGAAAAGTTTTTTTAGCAAATTCCCAGCATAAGCTATAATGATAAGGGAGGTAAAATGCTTCTGCTGCAAAATGCATAAGACCTAGGTTGAGAAATAGCAAACCAACAAACACTGCAAGGAGGTGGCTAACTCACACTTCAACTAAGCAGTACACTCTTAATTCTGATGATATAACAAACACAGACCAACCATGTACAATAAAATGGTCAAGACCCAACTTAACCATGCTGTAGATCTTAATGTGGATACAGAAAACACACACCAATCTTAAAGTAGTCACTACCCTTTCAGACCTGGTGGTCCAAAGGGAGATGACGAAGTGTTTACTTTCTCTAACATAAGTCAGGTACCCATTAGGGCTGAGTGGATCTCTAACGGAGTTGCGCTAGGACCTGAACATGAAACTTCCAGGATAGTAGTTGTGCTCATTACTGCACAACCATGCCATCTCATACAACAGTCTTATACAGTAAAATATTTTTCTTATATGGATGTAGTCACCAGACACTTGTTACAAAGTAAATTAAGAACTTAAAATAAACCTTACCATCAGGTGGTCTGTTTGATGTGGCCACAACCACAACACCATTTTTAAACATTTCTGTAAAAAGTCTCTTTAAAATCATAGCATCTGCTACATCAGTTACCTGTAGAACAGCAATGATATATTACATACACTATAAACATTACATGTTCATAAAGGAGATAAACAATTTACATAAGCATAAAACTCAAGCTAAGCATCATGCACAGAGGGAACACGACTTTAAAGCAAGTGTGAATAATGAATAATGTGGGCCCTACCTGAAATTCATCAAAGCACAACAGCCAAGCTTCCTGGCTAATCTCAAATGCTATTGGGCCTATTGCATCAAAGGGCTGTGTATCAATGGTTGTTTTTATTTTTGGCTGATTTTGTTTTAAATGATGAATTCCTGTAAAAGATCAACAATGAAAAATACAAGTGAGAAAGTGTGGTGATGGTTCAGAGTTTAGCCAGCTCCATCAGCAGGGATGGGGGGGGGGGGTCAGGAATAAAGCCCTTGTATTGCCTCCCTTAGCTATTACTCTCGTTAGCTGTTATCTGAACTTATAGCTTAGATAAAAATTGTATTTTACTTTTCACAACAGTATAAAGAAATTGTGTCAATGATATATATATAAAATCTCACAACGTAAAGCAAAACCAATTCAGAGTAATAATTATCATAACCACTTTCAAATAATCTATATTATCTTTTTTAAAATGTTGTCTTATATTTTAAAATGTACAGTGAATAATTAAGAGACAAACAAGTATTTAATTAAAATGACATCAGTAGGCCTACTCACTTTTATGGACATCTAGCATGAATTTGTGAAAATGGACTCGCTGCTTTTTTACTACTGTACTGGTCTCATGGAACATGTCCATCAGCATTGTTTTCCCTGTGCCTGAGTGAGGAAGTCAATACTATGTTAAAGGGAAATAATGTTTATTTAAATTCTCTTTAACACATGCTATTTGGCAGATCCTCCTGTAGAAGAATTACATCTTTTACAATGCTTTGGGGTGAGGTGTTGGGCAGGCACTAACAATATTTTCCTATTTAATTCTAACTTAATCATTGCTACAGTTTAATTAAATTACAAAAGTCTGAGCAAGTCAAAACTATATTAAAAGGGAAACAACTTTATCTGTTCAAAAAGTGTTTATGAAACTAGCTATTTAGCATATACTGCTTAAGAAGAATTACATCCTGTAGAAGGCTTGGGGGGGGGGGGGGGGAGAAGACTACCATTTTTTACCTATTTAATTCTAATTCTATCAAAATCATAATGACTGTAACAGTTTTATTATATAAACACATATATGTCTTGAGCACATACTGAACAATATACAGATTTTTTTGGCACCTTGCTAATTTAAAACACAAAACACAGATAGAGGTCAAAGTGAATTATAACTTACCAACATTTCCATGAAGGTAAAGACCCCTTATGTGCTGTGCCACTGATTCTTTTTTCTGTAAAATTTCATCATTTTTTTACAAACTTCTGAGTAACTGTTTTGATAATAAAGACAATACCAATCTAACAATAGAGGTAGAGTAAAAATCACCACATAAAATCTTGCAGTACATGCATATATTAACCCATGTGTATAACCCACATACTAGAAAGTTCTAAATTATGCCTTTGCCAAACTTTTGAAAGGTTGCAAGTAAAGCTTAACAGATGTAACAGATTTATAAATTATGGTAATTACGACAATAATTAGACACATTAAATCTAGCGCATAATTTGAAATTTAGAATTATTAGAAAAAATGTATACTTTTCCCTCATTGTTATTTGATTCTATCAAATTTAAACTGAATTTTATTTACAACAATTTATATTTTTTATAATTTTGTTACCTGTTTAAAGACAAATATCAGTCAGAAATAGACACTACATGTGTTTTAAGCAGCATAAACTCTTAATTTTGAACATTTTTACCTAATAGAGAAATCCATTTCGGTATTTTCCTGCCTACAGTTTTAAGCTACTGTAATATTATCAGTATAAATAAACACATTTTTTTTCTACAAATTGTGCAAATACTTTTAGGGCCTATAAATCTATTGTAGTGAAAATATTTTTTATAACTATAACAACCAACTTGATTCAGGGATGTGACCAGACCAGGAAAAAAAATTAGGAAATTTTCTTCGGATAATATCTCAATATTATTATGTTTATCTACTTTTTATCGCAGTTAAGCAGCTTCATACTGTTACTGTACTAATTAATTGTTTAATGAAGTTAATATTTTAAATACAAGAAGTTTATGATACTCTAAAAAAACATTGAAAGTCTTGTCTAATTGCAATTTAATGTTTACCTTATAAACAACTTTTTAAAAATTACAATGTAACTAAAGTAGCAATTAAGTTTTATTTTACCATTAAGCTAATTTAAACTGTACTAATCTAGTGTAGATTCTAGATGTACTCCTGTTTTCAATTTTTAAATAGGGGCCTTATGCCTTATATTCTTTTAAAGATTGGATTGGTAAAAATATTTGTCTTCAACTTTAAAGATCCTAGTAGATTAAGATTAGTTACAAGTTGAGTTTTAGGTTCATATGATGCAAAAATGCAATGGACCAGGTTAGCTAAAATTAGAAAGGGTCTGACGTGTGAACCAAAGTTAATCATTATGATAGCCAAGCCACATCGATATTTATGTATTTTGGAATAGCTGTAAATTGTTAGGGGTCACCCACGTTTTTTTTTGACGATTTTTACCTCCCCTCTCTCCTACAAAAGCCAGACTCCCCCCACCCCATAATGACGTCACACCTCAGCCAACAAATGCTCCCCCCTCCTCGAAATTAATTTGAATTTTTTTTTAAACATCGATTTTTTTCTAAAATATTGACTGAGGTCAACCAACATAGGGTATTTTATTCAATTTCTATTACAATATTTTACAACAGTTTTCTAATAGCGGCTAAGATGCAGTTGTTTCTAACATTACTTTTTTTAAAATACAAAAATATGACGTTACACTATCTTACCAGTGTGACGTTATTAATGGAAGACCCCTTATTAAAAATTTAAAAACAGTCTGAACGTATTTTTTCTTCCACAAACAAGACACGGTCGTAGTCACGTTGAGTTTAGTATTTTGTTTTAATCTGTAGGCCTACGAAGCATACGAATTGCAGAAACAGCTATTAAAAATTGACTGTGACGTCATTTTTTTCCACCAGCAGTACCGAACACGTGCTTGGGGTCAAGGTGAGGTCACAAGAGCCACCGTTGCTACGAGGTGGGGCGGGTTAGTCTAGTCCTCATAGTCACCTTTTGCAAGGATTTCAATATTCATTTGAGATTGCGAAATAAAATAAAATCAGACAGAAACTCTAGATTTAGGCGGGTTAAAATACCGATAAGTAAATTAGGCTATATCGATAGCTAGCTTACCAAGCTTAAGAGATGTAAGTTTCATTTGAATAACTGCATTATTTTAGATTACCTTTTCCGTGTTTTTGATAAATAGTTAACTGAAAATATCAGCGGAAAATTTGGACTAAAAAAGTGTGCTTTGAAAATTCCGCCGAAATTCCGAATCTTATTCTTAATCTACATTTAATCTTGAGCTAGCACCGTCAGACCTAGCGCAATCGACCAATCGAAAAGAAATGCGCATATTCGAGTGTCCGTTTGACCTAAGTACAGTAATTGTCGATTTAAATACGAATAAGTGGAATGAGCAAGTCGGCTCTTTCCGTAGAAGACATTTCCGTTTTTTTTTTCCGAATTTTTAAAACTTCGTAAAAAATCGACAAAAATTGGAACTCGGCGGAAAAATTCGGCGAAAATTAAATCAGCGGAGGAAAATCGCAACTGAAACGGAAAAATCGGATTTCCGCTAAAATTCGGAAAAGTCACATCCCTGTTGATTAGTCAGTTACTCAAATTAATGAACATCTTGAAACATGACTTATAAATATGATTACCTTTTTGAACCATGATGTCCCTGTCTCTTTAACAATGGGCTGATACGTCTTCAGTGTCTCGTGTAGAAGTTGGAGGCGTTCTACAACTTTCTGCTGATGGTCATCTTTGTTGAGTTCTCCAACAGTTATTTTTCTGGCATACACTTTCAGTGGCCCATCAGTAACATTGCCTAGCCCTGTCTCAGATGGTCTTTTAGCAGCGTCTACTCGTTTGTCTAGACTGAGCACTGATGATGAGTATTTTCTGTCACTTGTAGCTGAGGGGAAAAAAACAAATGAAATTATTTAAAAGGATATGAATCTGTTTACAATAATTTTACAATTTATTTACAAAAAAATGTAGGCCTAGGGCCCACAAAATACTGACTAAAGTATCGGTGTCACTTAATCAAACCCTCTATCTACAATCTACTCTCTATAAAATCTAAAATAAATGGTGTAGTCTAACCCAAGGATCATTATCACTGAATCAATGAACGCCATAGCCATAATAGCCCTAACCTAAAATTTCTGACCATGGCATATAGTCTTAGGCCTAACTGAATCTGATATTACAATACTGTAACAACTACAACCTAACGCACATATTTCGGTAGTCATTGTGGGACATCCATTCAAAATCATTCATCAGTCTGGCTCAGTCAGTCACACCAGTCAGTGATCGTCAGCAGTTCAGTGGTCAGCACACGAACTTCAACTTTTTTTTACTAAATTAACAATAATTAACATTTTAACAGATAACAGCTGAAGAGTCGAGTATAACTAAACCTAGGTGGTGATTCAATGCAATTACTTACAAATAAGAACGGTTACATAACAGCGAGAACGTGTTAAAAGTCCATAACGATGTGGAATAAGTTGGCTTATTATTCGTATTGCCCTTCCCATTGTGACATTGTGGCCAGTCTAAAAATACTACATTGCAAGTGTGGAGTGTAAACATTAGAACAAAAGTAGTTTCCAATAAAGGAGATTACGCTGGTTTTTTTTTATGTGTTGTCTCCCTTACAAGTTACATGAACAAATTCAAATTTAATTGAAATGTATAAGTTATTTACTTTAAATATTTTATCCAACCACCCTAAGTGTCAAAAATGTGCAAAGATAAGTGTTATGCAAAATTGTCCTATGAACGACCTTGTTAAAGAATGATAAACTATCACACTACCAGTAGCGTGGCGGGGGGGGGGGGACATATGTCCCCGGGCGCCGACCTTAGGGGGCACCAAAATGGGTTGGAAAAATAAATTGAAAGGTTGAGGGGGGTGCAAATCGAAAGTTTGAGGGCGTTGCAAATCGAAATCTTGAGGGGGGGGGGGGGTGCAAAGTTTGTCCCCGGGCGCCGGGAAGGGTCGCTACGCCTCTGCACACTACTCCATTGACGGATATGGGGCTGAGAGGACAACAACCCTAGCCCCCGATTTTTTTGGGCCTCCAAAATAGTCTATTTAATTTTCCTACATAATTTTGTATATTTTACATCGATATTTGTTTAGCTCTTTAAATTATAAACTATGTTTTAATCAAACAGAGATCACCATACTATGAACTGCTCGAGAGGAAGTAAAACCCTCGCCCTTTTAACATTAGCTTTCGTTGCTTTCGGCTTGATAATTTATTGATAATGTCTACGACGCTCCCTAAAATAGGAAGTTAGTACTGGCACATTAAGGGGTCGCCCATAAATGACGTCACACTCGTAGGGGGGAGGGGGTCCGTAATTTTGTGACGGTGTGTGATGAGGGGGGGGGGGGTTCAGATGATGCGACGTCACACTTTTGCATTATAAAAAAAAAAGCATTGTTAGAAAACGTATTTTAGACGATATTTTGCGTTTTAGAAAACTGTTTTAATAACTTGTAATAGGAATTGAATAAAATACTCTATTTTGACAGAGTTCAGACAACATTTTGGAAAAATATCGATGTTTTAAAAAAAATTCAACTGCAATTGTGAGGGGGGTTGTAGGCTGACGTCATTTTATGGGGGGGGGGGGTCTGGCTTTTTGTGACGATGTGTGACGGAGGGGAGGGGGAGGTAAAAATCGTCAAAAAAGCGCGACGTCATTTATGGATTACCCCCTAATGGATTGTTCAATTAGTTTCCAAATAAACTGTAAGATATCAAAACAGGCTAGAAAAAGATGTTTCACTCCGACAATTGTGTATAAGAATGTTCTGTCTGTTTAAAATAAACTACGTGACTAGCTACTGAAAGGCCTGGTCGTAACCATTTCTAAGGTATGCAGATTCTTTCCGGCATCCCTTTGGTTGAAACAAGATATAGCCAATATTGGACCAAGATATAGCCAATATTTGGCCAAGATATAGCCAATGTTGGGCCAATATGTAGCCGGGATATAGCCAATATTGGGCCAAGATATAGCCAATATTTGGCCAAGATCTAGCCAATGTTAGGCCAATATGTAGCCGGGATATAGCTAATATTGTGCCAACATTGCGCCAACATATGCCGAGTTTCACTACCAATGTTTGGCCACGGTTAAGCCAATGCTGCACCAAGATGTAGCCAATATTGGTAACCAATGTTTAGCCAATATTGGGGCAATATATGTGTACTGACTGGGGAGCGGGCGAAGCCCCCCCTTCCTTCCCCCCCCCCCCCCCGAACGAAATTTATATAATTTATATAGAAAATATATACCTTTAACAGTCTACCGCCCCCCCCCCCCGGAGAAAAAAGTCTGGAAAAAACACTAAAAATATTTAGTCTACCACTACGAGTGACGATCTAATTATCCAATCAATTTCAAATAGAATGTGTAATAGTAATACTTGCGTATTGTTTATATATGAATGAACCTAAAATAATTCTATATAACAGTGGTTCTTAACCTACCGAACAGTAGCGTACGCAGGGGGGGAGCAGGGGGAGCGGCCGCTCCCCCTCTGGCCATTTTCCTCAAAGTGGCGCCTTTTTGGAAACTTTTTAAACTCAAAGTTTTAAACAATGATATTTGTTAAAAAAAAATATGTTTGGTCGGCACATCTATGTAAATCACAAGATATCTTTGCAAGCAGCAATTAAGCATTATTGTACTAGTCTAGTACGTTTACAACACGTATTAACAGCTGCATCAGTTTGCCATTCTAAAAATAACCATTACGATGCATTGGAATTTTTTAAAAACCTCTACGGGTAGTACCACTTGGCAAGAGGGGTGTTAAGTTTAAGGCAACTGTATAATGTATTTGCTTACGAATAATTGCATTAGAAAATGTTATACATAAAACTTCACACATAATTACTTTATAGATACAGTTTGAATCGTGTGATTAATTTTTTGAAAATTACAATACAGAAACAAATACAACTGATGTGGCACCTCTATTTAAATTTAATTATGGGCAAGCTGCGTAGCGGTGGGGAAATTTTGACACGGTCAACAACGTCATTGTCATCGCGATGAAGTAGTAGTATTATGACAGTTTGGGCGATAGTGATACGATTACAAATTATATGAAACAGTTACAACCCCTCTCCCCCATGGACCCCTCTGTAAAAAAAAATAGTCATAATACCACTGCTACTTATTTAAATCTATTTCTGAATCAGTATACATGTGTAAAATATATGTATGTTTAGAACAGTCATCTAAAAAATGACGCTATGTTCACTCTGAGTTGGTTATCTCCCCCCCCCCCCCCCACCTCACCACCACAATTGTGTAGAGCGAAATTAATGTCACACCTAGGTATACACTGGGTTGGATAATTGACCTAAAGTGACCGGACAGTAAAAAGGTGTGTGAGCAATACAGTGATCTAACCCATACCTATCACTATGTTAAAAAATGATCTTTAAGGAACAAAAGATGCAGTACTTAATTTTTAAAAAAGATATGATCTGAACCTAAAATACCGATGTTTAGTTAAGTTTAAACTGTTATCCCAAAGGTATTTCTTTATATCGAAAAGCGTGCTTTTATACCAACTCTGATTTCAAAAACTTTCATTATGCTGTAATACTTTAACATTTATGATGACGATATATTTATTTCTGATTACAGACAAAAACATTTTGTTAACACGAATAGTGTTAAACAACTTCATTATATTCTAAAGTAATTATTTATTTGTTTTGACATTTATAATTAAATGTTTAGATATATACATATTTATATTAAGAGAGTGATTATTTCCCCTATTTCACTTGTCTTAAATAATTTCCCAGGAATTATAATGTAAGACATTTTTTTACAAGAATTACCAAACAGATTGTGTTACGTTCATTGTTTTTGGTTGTAGTGTGTATATTTTTTTTTGTTTAGATTGATACAATTTTTGTTTTGTCGGCCTACATTGTGTGTTTTTTCTTATTTCTCCAGAGTGCTACTTTCAATTTATACAGCTAGTAATTATATATATATATATATATATATATATATATATATATATATATATATATATATATATATATATATATATATATATATATATATATATATATATAATATATATATATAGAACGTGTTAAAAATTCGGCGCCTTTTTTTGCTCTTTTCGCTCCCCCTACAACAAAAACCTGGATACGCCTCTGCTACCGAACCCTCCAGTTTCATATGCGAATTCACCGATTGAACCCTTTATTATCAGTGTTTCTTTCAGGACGGGGGACGGGGGAGGACACTGGTAAAAGTATATATTTTCTATATAAACTCTATTTTGTTGTGGGGGGGGGGGGGGTTCTGCCCGGACTCTGCTGTTTGTTAATGTTAAAGCTCTATCGTCAGCACTGACAAAATCCAATAGTGACTCATGAATCGGGTGTGTGTCTTGACCTCCGCCGAGCCCCTGAGACTGACTCACCGAACCACTGGGTTTCGATCGAACCCAGGTTAAGAATCACTGCTCTTTAACATATGGTTATATAATATGGTTACAATTCCGAAACTTTAACAGCACTATTTTAATTTAATTTTATAATTTATAACGGTTCGAATAAAAAGGTAAATAAAGTCACGTGATTTCGGAAAGCGGAAGTTGTCGTACGCCATTGTTTTGTTTGTGATAGACTATTTCTTTGACTGTACAAAATTATATTTCATAGCTCTTTTTTTGAGTTTCCCAATGTCCGGTCAAGGTACTTTACAGGTATTGCTATAATTTGCTTTGTTTATTAAATTAAAATTTCAATTACCTGTTCAAATTACGCTATGATTTAGAATAATTGATTCAAAAGAGCAGGAAGTTGGCCACTTCTAATTTTAATTTTTTTGTTTATCATCCATCATGATCATGAGTAAGTGACGAATGCATATCATAATGACATCATTTATTACATTAATAATTAGTCGTTATGTTTCCAATACCCGGACTAGGCTCAATAGTTCAATACTAAATCGATAGACATTAATATTTATTAATGCAGAATTCAACGTTGGTAAAATAAAAGTAAAATAACAGAGGTCCCAGGCCAGTGTGTTTCCATTTTTCAGTTGAGTTGAAACTAAACATAGTCTAGAATCTAGATCTACATCTAGAATCTAGATCTAGTCAGGTTTTCAGTAATGTAAAACATTGATCTCATTGATGGGAAATTGCCTGATTAACATGCCTATTGTTGTTGTATAGTGGCATTAAAAGAAAATAGTAGGGTCTAAATTTCCCAAATTTAACTACCTAAATGTTAAAATCTTACTAATCCAGACCAAGTAGCCTAAATTATAATAAAATGCCATAGGCTAACATAGCCTACTTTTTTAGAATTTGCATATGCCCTATTTCACAATAACTACCCCACTATTTTTATTGGAGAATATTTATAGATTTTTGAGTCATCATCAGATGGCATTATAATGTTTACAAATATATGTTCCTGTCACTAGGACTTTTCTTTGGCAACAGTCAGATGATTGGTTCAGTTATTTTAGGATCTTATAGGGCTTAATTATAAAACATTAAACTACTAAGACTAAAAGGACAGAGCTTCTTCACTTGAAAAATTCAGAGTTTATGTTAGATGATACATAAATCTTTGGTTGCCCAACAAATTTGTTAGAATTTAAAGGAAGTTGTGATAAGATTTAATTATTTTTCATCATGAAAGAACTTCCCATAACTGGAGTAAGACATTTTTACTAGTTTTTATTTAGTTCACAATGTGTTAGTGGGTTTGATGTCTTATCTTGTAACTTGATTTTGGCATACTTTGAATGCAGAAATTAGCCTTCTAGATAATTAAGCCTAATTCTCAAATACAACAGTTTATCATTTACAATCCAATTTGCTTTTAAATTAATCATTAAAAGTAATATACTATATTCAGTAAAAAGGGAGGGAATTATAACTAGCAAGCATTAGCTCATTCAGCCAGGTGGCAGAGGTAAGTTGCTCATGCTGTTCACTATATTTTCACACATGAGAGCCAGCCTTTATAATCAATTAGGAGTAGAAAATGTTGTTTAGACTTAGTTTTGCATTCATTTAGAATAAAAAAAAAATTTAAAATAAAAATGTTGCTGTTTTTAAATACAATTCCCATACTTTGCGACTTTACCAGCTAACAACACCATTTTATGAAATCCTTATTTTCCTTGAGCTTTTTGAATGTTTCATTTTTTTTAATATATATTTTAGTATGTTTTATTTTAAATTTAGAAAGCCATTGAGCTAGTTACAAAAGCAACAGAAGAGGATAAGAAAAAAAACTATGAAGAAGCTCTAAAGTGCTATGAGCATGCTGTTGAATATTTTCTCCATGCAATAAAATGTAAGTGTATATTTGAATGAGAACACAACTCAATCCTGTTTCAGATGCTGAAAGTTAAATTAAGATTAATCAACTTATTCAACTAGCGATAAATGTCAAATTTTGTATTTAATAATTTAACCTCTATACCTTGCTCTTTAATTATATACCTCAAAACACGACGTTCACAACACTTTGTATATTTATATTTCAGATGAAGCAACCAGTGATAAAGCAAAAGAAAGTATACGAAGTAAATGCACACAATATTTAGATAGAGCTGAAAAGTTAAAACAGTATCTTAATAAAAAAGATAAGAAAAAGCCAGTTTTAGATGGGGGAAACCCAAAAAAATCTTCACCAGAGTAAGTAATGTTATTAGAGTGAATGATTTATTTCAGAATCTGCACATAGTAAATCTATTATAGTTTTACCTACTAAATCGTGTGTTGTATTTGCTTGTTTTGTATTCATGGTAACAAATACTTGATTCATTATTGATTCTTTTTGCATTAAAAACTAAGTTTATAAGCATGCTTTACTTGTTTTGTTTAGTGACAAATCAAGTGATGAAGAGGAAGATGGGAAAGACCCGGATAAGAAGAAATTTGAGGCTCAATTAACGGGTAAGGTTAACTTAAAGTGCTTCCTATCTTAGTGGTATATTTTACAAAATTTAGATATTTTATCCCACTTGCTAATGCTTTTTAATTAGTAAATTAAAATGTAACTGTCTACTATTTTATTTCATAGTTTTATGATTTTATTGGAATATTTGATAAAGCTTCATTTACTTAATGTTAGGCAAAATGCTAATTTTGTAATAGATAATAATTGTTTCTATATTGATGTTTATTGTATTGCAATGATTTTGTGCAGGGGCCATTGTTATGGAAAGTCCAAATGTAAAATGGGAAGATGTTGCTGGACTAGAAGTTGCTAAAGAGTCTCTTAAAGAAGCAGTTATATTGCCTGTCAAATTTCCTCATTTGTTTACTGGTAGGAGCATGTTAATTACATTTGTACTATTATTTTTATCTTTATACTCTTCAGTGCTTATGCAGAATTATTGCAAAAGATTTTTATTATTTAACTTCAAGAACATTACATTAAAAGTTGTGAGTTAATTGCTGTTCTGATCTACAGGTAAAAGAAAACCATGGAAAGGAATTCTACTTTTTGGGGTAAATAATTTTTTAAAGTTTAAATAGATATATTAAATAGACACATTTATTTAACACCGTAATATTATCTAGAAATGCTAGTAAAAAGAAGTGAATAATTACTTTTTATATCTATGGTACTATCTTATTAATATTGAAAGGAGCTAATTTTACAAAGTATAAACACATTTATTTAACACCATAATATTAGTAAAAAGAAGTGAATAATTACTTTTTATCTCTATGGTACTAGCGTATCGATATTAAAAAAGAGCCAAGTTTATATAGTAGTTTTTAATTAAAAAATAAATATTTCAAATATTTCAGCCCCCAGGTACAGGCAAATCCTATTTAGCAAAGGCTGTGGCTACAGAGGCCAACAACTCCAAGTTTTTCACTGTTTCGTCGTCAGATTTAGTTTCCAAGTGGTTGGGAGAGAGTGAGAAGTAAGTACTGTAAACAGAGTGATAATTTTAAAACAGGTCAGCCAATTTAAAAAATTTCACATGCTAACTTTTCTGTTGGAACTAAAATGTACTGAGTAGTGGTACTCTGCTGATGTAATTTAGTCAGAAAATACATCCTTAGACTGGTACACAATAATTTGGAAATTATGTGCCATTCTAATTTGCTAGATTCATCAAATAGCCACAACTAGGTGTTTTGTCTGTCATGAATAAAGGAAAACTTAACCTGCTTTACTAGTTTTAAATCTAGTTCTTTGATTATAAATTTTTCTTTTCTGAAATGAAATGTTTTTAGAGAACATGAGCAGTTGTCTCTGATGTTTTTATTGAATGTTTTGTTTATTTCAGGTTAGTGAAAACACTATTCCATCTGGCCAGAGAACACAGACCAGCCATCATCTTTATAGATGAAGTTGACGCCTTGTGTGGCTCTAGGAGTGAGAATGAATCAGAATCAGCAAGACGTATAAAAACTGAATTTTTAGTTCAAATGCAAGGTGTGGGTAATGACAATGATGGGATTTTAGTGCTTGGAGCTACAAATATTCCGTGGGCATTAGACTCTGCCATCCGAAGAAGGTATGTGTATAAAATTTATTTAGTGGAAATATTTAGCCGCAATACATATTTTATTGCAAGAGGGTGTGTTCACACAGTAAATCTAGCTTTGACCTGTTAAACTCAAGTCTAATGTGTAAGACTTGAATTTGGAAAAGTACTGCTTTGCAAGGCTAACATCCAATTAAAATCAAACAAGTGATTACAGATTTAGAGATTTTTTAAAACAGAAATACACACAGCTAGATTAAAACAAATCAATACTTTTCTATCTGGAGCCACAATGTTAAAATAGAAGGACAACCAAATTTATACCACATATACATTTTTAAACCCTGACTTTGTTTACTGCATCATGTTTACAAGAGTGTTTTGTGGGAGTGGCTAGTAGGAGGAATACATGTCTATTTAAGGGCAGTTCATCACGCCAAGTGTTTGGGGTTCCTATTTTAGCTTGATTGAGGCTGTAGGCTGTAATATTATTACTTTTGTATGCTTTAGGGATAAAAAGGTACACATTTTCACAGTGTGGGCCTAAAAAATAGGTGCCAAGATTATATACACATTCCTACAAACTATTGCCAACTGAAGAAGAAGATCCTCCAGCATAACAAGACAGGCCCTCACCTGGAATCCACATGGCAAAGAAGGATCTGGATACACCTGGGGATAGTTGGAGAGACTAGCCTAGGACAGAGATGCCTATAAATCTCTTGTCAACAGCCTTTGTCCCAGGAGGGGCGATAGGCTAACCTACCTACCAACCAACAAATCATCTAGTCCAGATGTTACTTTACTTATATTATCATCTTTACACCTCCTGTTTCACTCATTTTTTTTTTCCTAATAAGGTTTGAGAAGAGAATCTACATCCCATTGCCAGAAGCCCCAGCAAGAGCTGAAATGTTTAAACTTCACCTTGGCTCTACCCCTCATTCTTTGACTGAGGAGGATATTAGAGAACTCGGCCAAAGAACAGAAGGGTAAGCTTAGATCTATTTTTTATGGACTTTTGTAAAGAACAGTTTGCAGGGTGAAAATGTTTATTTTCTTACCTTATTGAGCCAGTTGCTTAGATACAATTATAGTATGTTACTGATCTACCACATTGCATGATTGGTTAAAATCTTGTTTTAAAATAAACCTTATAACAAAATAATTATGTATAGGTTGTTTTTTTTCCTTCTGTGACTCAATTGACCTGTATATTTGAATCCCAGCTACTCAGGTGCTGATATCAGTGTTGTTGTGAGAGATGCCCTGATGATGCCTGTTAGAAAAGTTCAAACTGCCACACATTTCAGAAAGGTACAGCACTCTTGTTATAGTCATTTTATAGCGTAGTTGATCATAACTTAATGTTCTCTATCTCCCTGTATGTTACACATTTTAAATGTGTGTTTTTCCACTTCAGGTGAGGGGACCCTGCAGGAACAACCCAAGTGTTACAGTTGATGACTTGTTAACCCCATGCTCACCAGGTGCTCCAGGTGCCATAGAGATGAGCTGGATGGATGTACCTGGAGATAAGCTGCTGGAACCTATTGTATCAAAGGTTAATTGATCTTTTTATACTTATACAAAAAATGCATGATGTTGCGATTCAGCTATGCTTATTTTAGTATTGCTACTGTAGTTTAGACCATTTAGTAACACCCACAGGAAAGATTATTTATTGTCCTCACATAATTTTGATAATACTTAGGTAAATTTTCCACATCACTGTTGTCGGAATTCAGGGAAACCATTTTTTATAGCCTGCATCTTAATCAGAGGCACAATAAGTCATTTAACAATGTTTGTGGCAGAATACTAACCAGAGTGCGAAATTAAAGAAAAAAAAGAGTGTGTTTTTATATATATATATAAATATAAGCAATTGACCTGACACGATGGCTCATCCCAAAATGGTTCCCAACAAAATATTTAAAGGCTCATGTTAAAACTGCTCCTATTATACATTTAATCAGATTTAACATTTTCATTACTCTTTTTGAGTATTAAATTATTACCTTGTTCATGTCATACATTTACACTCGTTGTATAGTAGTGTCTAATAGGAAGTTACTGAAGGAAATTACTTGAGTTAAGATACTACTGTACAGCACTTGTAGCACATTTAGAAAATCTTTTTTTGTCTTTACTTGTTATTTTTTTGTTTGAAGCTCTTTTTGTTTAGTGACAAATTGTCATGGTTCTTTTGACATAGGCTATATTCTCATGAACTCTTTTCATAGGGCTATTTTGTCAGGCTGATATGTTATGGCTACATGGTCACCTGCAATTTAATTTTAATTTTCTGATTTTACTATTCTACAGACTGACATGCTGATGGCTATTCTGCAATTTAATTTTAATTTTCTGATTTTACTATTCTACAGACTGACATGCTGATGGCTATTAGCAGTTCAAAGCCAACTGTAAACAGTGATGATTTAAAGCGACTACAAAAATTCACAGATGATTTTGGCATGGAAGGTTGACACACCTGGCTAGTACATTTGGGGGGAGAGGACTGAAATCATAAAATCACACAAGAATACAAAAGCCTGTTCTAAGGTTACTGAGGCTCTGGACTATAAATTAGCTATCAGTAAAACATCACATAGGATCTGCTAGGAGTAGCCTGTCTTTTTTTTCCTGTTCTTTTTTTGATGGATGACTATGAGGTATGACTCTCATGCAATGACTGTTTTGCCTTTGTTCAAATATATCAAGTAGTTCTGGACTGTTATTTGTATGTTCTATTGAAAAAAATTTTTTTAGATTAAAATTATTACAGGCTTTATTTTTAAAAGTGGTATATTGTGTCTAATCTAAGGAATAATTATAGTGTATACATATAACTTTTAAAAATGTAAAATTTCAATACATATTCAAAGACTTGGAAGGGGATATTTAATTTTGAGATGTAAAAATATTGTGTGATGTGGACAGTCTGAGTTTGTTATATTTTAATAAGCTAGTAATGTTATTTATCTAACATATTAGTAATGATTAATATGATTATCATTAGTTGAGATTTCAACTTTTTGCTGATTAGTAAAAAAAAATACGATTTTCACTATTCACATCAAACACTAAAGACGTGCCGATCATGCAACTATATTCTGTATCAACGTTTTATTTTGTATGTCTGTGATACCCATCATTCTTCTTGTGCTTGTTTTTGTGAAGTCTGTGTCTTGAATCAAATCGTTTGTACATTTTTTAAAGAAAATAGTGCATCCATGTGTTACTTGGATGCAGTTAATCCATCAACTTTGAAGAGGATTCATAATTCTGATGTGAATGTTTTCTAGTGAATAAACCATCACTGAACACAGTTTTAAATTGTTATTTAAATTAAATGTTATGTGTAATTCAACGTCTTAAATTAGTGTTTTCTCTCAATACAAACGTAATTTTGTTTTCTACCCAAGTTTCTAGACGGGTATGAAATAAATTCTTTGAAATCAAAATACTGATGTTTTGTGTTTTGCTAATCAATGAATATGGAATGAGAGAAAATGAAAATAATTGTTCCTTGGGCAAAGAAAATATAAAACAACAATTTTGTGGTAATTAAATAGTTTTACACAAAAATGATTTTTTTGTCAACTTTGCTTGTGTATTTTAGTTTCAAGAAAATTGTGAAATCTTTTAACAATCAATTTGTTCTTTCTGAATTTGTTTTTGAAAATTTTAAATTGATCTTCATACTTTCTAATGTATCTTCGTACACCTTTGAGCAGATTTATGGATGTCCAATGAGTAAGTTGGAAAGCTCAACAACACCCCAGTCTAAGTGTTATTACTAATAATGTTCACTGTATTTTAATCTAATTAAATAACTGCTTGATAAAGATGCTAGCACAAATACAAGTAATGGAGCATATTTTGTGTCAGTTGATATGTTATATTCAACACACTTGTACTCCATAAACGTTTGTGTAATTAGAGTATTTTATCAACCTTGTCGGCTTTATGTCCAGTCGCTAGATGTTGGCCCTATGACCATGTTGGCCTTTTGGATAGCAATCTTTAAACTTTAATCTCACACCCAAAAAAAAATTTAAGATGAAGAAAAATCCCCAAAATTAATAACGGCACAAAAAGATGATCTCAAATTTTGGTTGCTGCTTCAAGATAGTAAAGAGATATGGAATCCTAACAAAAATTTACGTAAAAAGACAGTCATTAAGAAAAAACATCAATAGACTAGGGCAAACTTATCAAAGTAAAATCATAAGCCAATTAATTATTAATATTGACATTTAAAACAGGCTCACGTTAAATATTGATACATGCTAGCTTTCAATCTTGGTTATTTATGCTGTACCAATGCCAAATGATGGGGGTTTACAAGTCAACAACAGAGTCTGTACGGGGTCATCTCTTGAAAATGTTTAGCTTTAATTCCTTTTTATAAACATTGTTTTTTCATGAGTATAAAATAGTTTATAGGGGCCTACAATACAATACTATCTAATTACTAGATGTATGTTCTAATACAAGTTTGAGAACAATTATAGTAAAAGCTGAAGAATTTGCCCGTCTAGCAAAGTAAGTATCAACAGCAACAAAAACGCACAATTTCGCAATTTATTTACTGGTTTTTTATGTGTCGAATACATGTATTTAAAAACTCACTTTTTTCAAACAACTTTTCTAGTACAATTGGACCTAATATTAATGAAACTCTAAGAAGCTTTAAATAATAGAATTAGAGATGCCAAAAAAGTTTCAAATCACTACTGAGAAGGAATCTAAACAAAACAGTCCCAGGCATTGGGTACCCAAAATACATGAATAACGACAAATACATTTCTTAATTAACCTTAAGTTAAGACAATTTGTTTTACAAATACAATGAATTACAAATCATTGATTAAGGAATGGATTAAAGCCATTTCATTGTGCTCAAAATTAAAATTTTATAAAATGTAAAAAGAAAACAAACTCAACAGAGAATGTTTTCGTAGTTTCAGGTCATTGTCCTGTCCTATTTGTTGTTGAATTTATTTTATTTTCCCGCAGTTGTAGGGTAATGTAGGCTTTAACGGAAACAGGTTTAAGTTTAAAGCCGATGTTCAACACTCATAAAATCATGCTGGTTAAACAGTTATTATTTCAAGAATCAGAATGATTTAAAATTCCCTAATTAAAACAACACAACCTACTTTATTTTTATTTTTAAAATCCTCGCTAATTGCGTCTTTTTAATATGTTGCCATACGCTTACGTCATTGCTATCTTATAGCATCATCAGTTGCTAGGCAACGTGCGAGTCCTGAATTACGGGCGAGGGATTTTTACTAGCTGGTGTGTTTCAGAACTCTTTTTATTTTTTTTATTTTGTACATTGGAAAACGCAAGCGTTGAATTTTTAGTTGAGCGTGGATTAGAGGAATCAATACAACTTGGAACCGAGTCTCACGTCGCAGTTCCTGAACTCCTTCATCTTGCTCACGACGCGACGCGCTGGACGCGAACCGGTGCTGACTCTTAAACATTTTCTAAGGGCGGCTACTCGCTTAACCGGTGTATCAGACCAATTGGAGGATAATGCTGGCAGAGTAATGGTACTTGTCTCCTATTCTTTGCAGGTGGATTAGAGGTGAGTACGTCTGTCAGAATTAAATCTATTTTGTTTGAATTTGTGCTGGTTACCATGGCGACTGGGTAATTAATGTAAAGAATGCACGGCGTTCGCTCTACTAGCGTCTAAAATAAATAGAGCCTACGTTTTTATAATAATAGATATATGTTACAAAATAATAGTGTTCTTAGACAGTTTTTGTATCGTAAAAAATTCTAAGCACAGAAAGTTGAAACTTCGATGAGATGATCGTTGTTGTGTGGAGGATTTATAGTGTGTGTGTGCGTCGATCTAGACGATACAAATATTTGACTTCTTAAGAGATTGTGCTCATTGCTACCTTAAAAAAGAAAAAAACACGTTATTTAACACTAACCCTCATAATCAATAACATTTATAAATAAAGAGCTGCCTTCTCCTATAATCTATATTACGTAATTTTAAAGAATAATACTGATTTCATCGACCAAATGAAACCGTTGTAAAATGTAAGTAGGACTTCTGTGTGTTTGAAAAAAAAAAACGTTAACAATGTTTCTTTAAATCATCTGAACGGAGTTCGGAGGATTGAATATAAAGAATATATATATATATATATATATATATATATATATATATATATATATATATATATATATATATATATATATATATATATATATATATATATATATATATATGTTATACTTTAACCGCCCTCCCTCTCCAGTAAAATTCCACCCCCCCCCCCGTGAATAATGTAAGTCTGTTGCTCATCCAACCGTTATAAATGGCAAAAACTTAACAAAACTAAGAATACAGATGCTAAATGTAGTCCCAATGTTCCAACGCCGTATGACAAGATAACAACCCACCATCATCACCCCTTCTCGTGATATAAAGGCTATAACCTGGATGTTCCTTAACAGCAGAATATACGCATTAGAATGGCATATATATATATATATATATATATATATATATATATATATATATATATATATATATATATATATATATATATATATATATATATATATATATATATATATATATATATATATACTCATACATATAAGTATATAGGTCTATGTATATATTAAAACTGCACTTGACCTATTCCTGCCTACGCCGCAGATTTGTGAATTAAATATACAGATTAAAACATCTGTAGTAAAATACAAATGTTTGGTCTTTGAACATGTCATGAAAAATGTATCTACATTTCTTAACGCAGATTAAATTAGTCAACATTTCTTAAGACCCCCACTGCTTCTCTCTCTATCTCACGTTGGTACTTCCCAAAACTACGTCCCCCCACTCCCCTCATGTGCTTTACCGTAATACAGCACAATGCGAAAAGTTGAATTCTGTAACTGATATGCGTCATGTATACCCCCACCTCACCTACTCCCCCAATAGTTGAATTCTGTAACTGATATGCGTCATGTATACCCCCACCCCACCCACTCCCCCAAAAGTTTAATTCTGTAACTGATCTATAGTTAAGTATATAACCCCACACCCCCAAAAGTTGCATTCTGTAACTGACCTGCGTGATGAAATCACCCCACTCCCCCAAATGTTAAATTCTGTAACTGATCTAAAATTAAGTATATACCCCCCCCCTAACTCCCCCAAAGGTTATATTCTGTAACTGATCTGCGTCATGAATTCTCCCCCCCCCCCCCCCACTGCTCACCAGTTACCTCTTACATCTACTCCCGACCAATGCGCTGTAAAGCCTCAGCCTCCACCCGCCTAGACAGAACCTAGTCGGAAGTCAATTACACGACGTCATTAAATCCTTGTTTGAAACCTACAATTCCAGGGTCGATCATCACACTGACAATGATCCCAAGTTGACAATTTGTCGAGCCGGATATTCCATGATCAGTTGTTTTGTTGTGCTCATTGTTTGATAACTCACGCTGAATAGGTCATGTTAAACCGAGGTGTTTTTTGTCTGTATTTTGTAAGTTTACAAACTCACTGATGTCATTGTGTTTTTTTAAAGAAGAAAATAGCTAAATAAAATAGCTTTTAAATAACCCAATCAGATTGAGGCTGTGGAATTTATATTATTAATTTCCTAATTAATACAGAATTTAAAAATAATTGTATTTCCCATGTGGCTGTTACCCGTGTATTTAATGTCATCCTGTCTGCGTTATAGCCTATGTAGACGACTGACTGGAGACAATCTATGCTTGGATGTGATGCAAGCTAAGATGCTAATTGTTTTTTAAATAAAAATATGTGTGTGTGAAAAAGCTACCCACTTCCGACTTGGAAAAGCCGCAACGCTTTTTCCAGTGAATGTCCTGTAACAATTTTTTTTATTAAGTTGGTTAAAAAATAAAGACTTTTTCATGTAAATTATGAACTACTTGTCCCAATTTCACATTCTTCATAAAAAATCTAAACGTACAAGTTTCATATATTGTTTTTTATAATATACTAGCGTACCCGTCCCCCGCGCGTTGCCGCGGGGATAGAAGTAAGTTTGACAAAATGTATTAGAAGGATTTCAGCAACGCGTTACCAATCATATGTTCTTAGACGCGTGACCGTCGTTTCTAAAAATGACTTATTTAAATGTAAACAATGCCTGCGCTTAAATCATAAATATCGGGACACAGGTTTACCTACACTACCGCATGAAAACATTGAATGTACATTAATCACTCACCGAAATAATATGGTAGAACACACTTCGGTGACCGCCCATGTGTCAGAGACGTAGAGGGGCGCTCTCAGGGCCCCCACCCCCCGATTACACTACCGCAAAGGCGCGGCATACGACCCCTGGCTCCTTAAAACTAACAGGCGCCATCGTGCCTAATAGCATCCTGTTAATAATTATGCTGATTTCGTCATTCGCTAAGGGGACACAAATGAACAGGATTTTTTTCTTTAACACGTAAAAAAGTATTTGACTTGTTTTATACATCATCGTGACTGATGCAATATGCTAGCGTTACTAATGGTCTATTCTTAGATGCTCGATCTCAATTTCCGACTGGAT